CTGTGCTGAGAGTTTTAACCGAAATTAAGCAGAATCGAGACCCCGCACTTTTATAGTGATTGTTATGCCTTTTGCACGTGCATACCATGCCGTGGCGTAAGTGACTTAAATCCACTGCAGACGCGTTTGTGCGATTTTTCCCTGTTACCTACACGCACGCACACACCCACACGCACCCACACCCACACACTATCACACACTCATCTACACACACTCGTCTTAAATAAAAACATATTTTTCAGTTGATATATCAATACAAATTACCTGTGTTAAGTAATAATATAGTTAATATATGTATTTATATAGTCAATATGTGATCTATCGTCGTGTTTAAATCACGTTAATGTAGGACTGCGTTGGAAAGCATAGTTCTATATTGTAACAGGTTTCTCCCTATACTCAAAATAAAACATCTATTTCAAATAACTTCGTACCATGTGGAGCGAAACTTGACGAAAATTCTCGAGGCAAGTTAGGGTGTCGAAGGAAATTATCCAGTGTGAGACTATGTCTTACAGATAACAGAATATCATAATGTATATAAGACCTTTATTGAGTACATGAAATAGACACAAATCGAGAGAAGCTCTATTCCAAGTCTGACTTGCTGTCAGTAAACGTCTGCTTATAAAGCCGCATATATGGTATTGTTTATTATCAATTATGGTGTTTGTCAGGTCAAGGTATAATGAACGGACCACTAATACATTCTCTTTGAAATTCAGTCTAGTGTTACACGCGGATCATGTGTAGCTTGTTAAAGAACATCTTGAATAAACTAGATGATTATTAAGAACGTGTCTTCACAGAAGTTGTGGAGAGTTTAAACGTCAACTTCAGTTATAGATCAGTTTTGTCACACCAGGTTACTTATTAAAAATAAATAACGAACATAATATAAACGTCAACTTCAGGTATAAATCACTCTGTTACACCAGACATAGTTACTTAACTAAAATATATTTCGTCAATTTTGAATTTTAAATGAATAATATATTAACATTTCCTATTTATCTGTGAGAGAGAGAGAAATGGGGTTTAACGTCCACTCGACACAATTCAACTAGGTCATTTCGGGACTAACATATGGTTTAATTTTATTTCAATAATTCGCTTGCGCGTAGGGGTCTTTAACAGTGGGAGGAAACCGGAGGACCCCGGAAAAAACCCACAGGCAGGCGAACCTACTCCTTGTCACGTACAACCGGGGAATCGAAACCACGCCAGTTGACTCAATGACAGACTTCATGATACACGCTAACAAATCGGCTATCCAATCCCCATATTTATTTGTACATCTATACATTGCCTTTTACAATACAAAGTATAATAATATATTTATAAATAAATTGTAATACACTATTCGATTCAACTTCATTATTCTCAATATGTAATACACTAGAAGTCTCGGCCTGTTCTCTAAAGCCAGCTCATTTACTCCCCGGGCTAGTTGGAATTCGATATAAGAGTAGGCTGTAACGCCGCTGCCCGGGCAAAATTTCCCTCATAGCACACTGTATGGCGTATGTCCGTCTTCATTAGCCCAGTTTAGCAGCAGAACAGTGGGACTTTAAACCCCATTTCATTTCATTTCATTTCATTTACATTCCTACAGACTAGACAACATGAGAAAATGTAAAATATGCGCTAAATAAAGCAAGAATGTTCAAGTAAAACAATTTACATTCTCGGTTATTTCAATCATTTCTTTAAAAAAAAACCCTTCAAAAAGTCACCATTCCACTTTTTACTTGCTTTTACAATAGCGCGATTTATAGAGTCCTATTTGTTTAACCTAAATCCGGTCAAATATCATACAACATTTTTAAAGTCACTGTATTTAGCTTAAAGTGGAATTGAATAAAATGAGGGGCTTATATAAATTCATCTCCCGAGGACATTATTTACAATAAAATGAGGTTAAACGTTCAAATTTTCTGCAGACGGAGCTTTCGTTTAAACAGTTGAACAGACGATGTCGTGGTGTTGTTAAGTTTATGTTCAATACCTTTCAAATAAAAATAATCTAAACTTAAACGATAATGGTATTTATCCAAGGGGGTGGGGGGCGGGGCTGTCTTTGAGTCAGAATCATAAGGTCTGTACATGACAAGGAGTAAGGTCGCCTGTCCAACCTCGTGGGTTTTCTCCGGGACCTCTTGTTTCCTCCCACTGCTAAAGAAATGAAATAGAAGCATATGTTAGCGCCGAAATGTGTATCATTGCTGTACCTAATAATGTGTGTCTTTAATGTAATTGTGTATCATTGCTGTACCTAATAATGTGTGTCTTTAATGTAATTGTATATCATTGCTGTACCTAATAATGTGTGTCTTTAATGTAATTGTGTATCATTGCTGTACCTAATAATGTAATTGTGTAACATTCGCTACCTAATAATGTATTGTGTAACATTCGCTACCTTATATTGTAATTGTGTAACATTTTGGAACCAAGCGACCTAATGAAAGCGGGCCTAAGTTTTTTCTCTGGCATATTTACTCTTCATCGAATTCCAACTGTCACGGATTCTTTTACTTTCACGCCAACGTAAACACGAGGCCTAGGTTTAACATACAATCCGAAGTACTAGACGATGTATATTGCCAGGCCCTTCGTCTGCGCCTGAGAGACACGGTGGCTAAGTGGCTCGCAATCCTGGAGGTCGCCGGTTCGATCTCGAGAAAGTTCTTCCGGATATTTCCGGCGTAGTTTTCCTTTGTTAATTGTGCAGGACGGAGGGCCTGACAAAGACAGCTGTCTAGCCGCTCGGATGAGACGAAAAACCGAGGTCTTGTGTATACCGTTAAAGATTCCTCGACAGTTGGAATTCGATACAAGAGTAAGCCGTAGCACCGCTGTCCTGGCAAATTGTCCCCCATAGCACACACTGTATGGCGTATGCCTGTCTCCATTAGCCCGGTCGGAGCAGAACAGTAGGACGTTAAACCCCATTTCATTTTCATTTATTTCATCCTGCGCCATTAATAAGTAGAAACCATGCTGAAAAATCACACAGCACTTTCTGAATGAACACTGAGGTCGAACCCATAACTGCCTTGTTAGTGATCCAGCGCTTTATATTATTATACCGAACACCTTAAAGAGAGCAAAAGAGAGACATATTTGTTGGAGGACCCGGAGAAAACCCACGAGGTTCGACAGGTGACCCTACTCCTTGTCACGTACAACCGGGGAAAATCGTTATAAAATATGTTAACTCCAAACTTGAACCTTAGAACGTTTAAATCGCACCAATAGATTCGAAGAATTTGTAAACAATTCAATTGAAGAATGTTCAATTAAATTGTTAATTCAACACACTTAATATAGATAATCAATAAAATATGTTTTAAAAAGAAAGAAAATACAGCTTTAAAGTCAGGATGTGTTATTTGCATTTGTTTTGGGTTTTTTTCTCTAGAATATCAAATTTCTCGCGGCATCACCCATAATTATATTCATTTCTTAATCTTTAATTATAGTCCCGATGGGCATATTTTCATTTTCACTAAAATATCAAATTTCTCGCGGCTTACTCCACGCTAATATATCAGATTGAATTTATTATTTAATGTTGTAGTTTGCAAGTAACTCCTAAGGGGGGGGGGGGGGGATGGCCGAATGGTTGTATCATAAGGTCTACCATTGGGTCAACTGGCGTGGTTTCGATTCCCCGAATTTACGTGACAAGGAGTAGGGTCGTTTGTCCAACCTCGTGGGTTTTCTCCGGGTCCTCAGGTTTCCTCCCACAGTTAAAGACCCCTACGCACAACCGAATTATTGGAATAAAATCGAACCATATGTTAGTCCCGAATGACCCCTCTCTCTCTCTCTTACATTTCATGGATACGCATGCGTGAAGAGCTCTAAATCGAACTCGGCAAATCTGATGAAAAAACACAGATCCTATTTCGTTTCGTTTATTATAGTTCAAATTTCGTTTTACTTGCCTTCACTACACTAAAAACGTCAACGCTGTTTGATTAATCAATGTCTGACGTCATAGGGTCAAAAACCGCATGTACGACATCTGACACGACCTTCCAGTACAACTTGTGTGATATTTATCTAGTGTAGGCCATCGAAGGTATAAAAAAATAACGAAACGAAATATAGATGTTTTTTTAATCATATTGGTACCATAAAGTCTGCCATTGAGTCAACTGGCGGGGTTTCGAATCCCCGGTTGTACGTGGCAAGGAGTAGGGTCGCCTGTCCAACCTCGTGGGTTTTCTCCGGGTCCTGCGGTTTCCTCCCACTGCTAAAGACCCCTACGCGCAACCGAATTATGTAAATAAAATTAAACCATATGTTAGTCCCGAAATGACCTAGTTTGTGTCGAGTGGACGTTAAACCCCATTTCTCTCTCTCTCTCTTAATCATATTGGAACACGACGCAACGCTCTTTAATCTATTATACTGTAATAACTTATCCAATAATTTTCTGCATCGCGGGACTCTTTAAAAATCGAAGGAAACGATCCCCAGAGAAAATAGATACCCTTTAACAGAAGGTGATTCATGCTCAATATGTTATTTATTTTTTGTTTCTGTTGAATGGGATCGTTGCTAACGGTGACAGACAATGGCATTGATCGCAAACAATGATGTCGTTTCCATAGAAATATATAAACATCTCTATACAACCGTAGAATCATCTTCTTCTTTTTACATGGAAAGAAATATTTGTCTTGAAATAATCTATAGCTAGTCAACCTCATGGATACATGAAATGAAATGGGGTTTAACGTCCTACTGGTCTGCCCAGGATGGGCTAATGAAGACGGGCATACGCCATATAGTGTGCTATGAGGGAAATTTTGCCCGGCCAGCGGCGCTACGACCTACTCTTTTATCGAATTCCAAGTGCCTCCGGGCTAGCGGAGTAGTCAGTCGATCGATTTGCACGGAGTTTAAATAACCGTTACGGCTAATTTAAAGTCGATACTACATGTATGAATACATCTATATATGAGTTTACCGTAAAGCAACAGCCAGCAGTCAATACTATATCTATATATAATATCAACTAATAGCGTCTTTTAACCTGTTTAAATGTCCACACCTACAAGCTATATTAGCTATCGGCCTACATCAAACAACTGCCATTTACTAAGATTGTCGTGAAAGCATGACGCGATTTACTGGATACAGATTTGTGTAAGTAGTTGATATTTTAATATTCAGGGACATTATTTTATTTTCCAGGGTATTTTTAAATTGTGAAACTAGATACAAGGATTATGGTGATATAAGTAGTATCATCATCATGATAGATATAAATTTTGTGTGGATATGGTATTTAATATCCTTACTCTAGTTGGTGATTCACAAAATATATACCGACGTTTAAAATTAAATATACGTACACAATGGCGGACTATTGAAAAATATATCGGGAATTTCAAATTAGTAGAGGCCTTAGGTCGTCGTAACAATTTGTTGTATGAAGTACTGGATTTGATTTATTTAGTGTTTACGGGGCATTGGATGGCCGAATGGTTAGAGCGTGCGCGCTGTATCATAAGGTCTGTCATTGAGTCAACTGGCGGGGATTCGATTCCCTGGTTGCATGTGACAAGGAGTAGGGTTGCCTGTCGAACATCGTGGGTTTTTCTTCTTGTCATCCGGTTTCCCCTACGAGCAAGCGAATTATTGAAATAAAATTGAACCATGTCTTAGTTCCGAAATGACCTAGTTTGTGTGGCGTGGACTGTAAACGCTCTCTCTCTGTACTGACTATTAAAACAGTTGATAGCCAATTGAGGGATAGTGTTGTTCAACGGAGTCCAATATAAGGCGAGACATAAAACCTTTTGTACGATTCTATATCTGATCGTTGCTCAATAAGGCATGTTTTTGTCCGAAATATGCCCTTGGCCTATGAGAAATTTATAATTTATGTGTAGTATACAAATAATGTGTAATATATATATTTAACGAATGGGTAATACAAAGTACGTTAAGGATAACGATATTTATTCAACTAATGAGTAATACAAAGTGCGTTAAGGATAACGATATTTATTCAACGAATGGGTAATTTAAAGTGCGTTAAGGATAACGATATTTATTCAACGAATGAGTAATACAAAGTGCGTTAAGGATAACGATATTTATTCAACGAATGGGTAATTTAAAGTGCGTTAAGGATAACGATATTTATTCAACGAATCGATAATATACAGTGCGTTAATTATAGCAATATATATTGTATAAGGGAAGTGGACTATATTACAGTTAACACAATACATATACATGTATTAACAATGTATATTTTCAAACATATTAATTAAATAACGTAATTGTCAATATATTCTTAACAATAATACACACAATGTACATTGAAATTAAAATTATTAAAAAAACAGATAATAACAGCGATGAAATAAGACGAATAAAAATGGATTAAAAATATTTATAATCGCAGTGTAAACGTGTTAAATTTGACTTTTGTATTTCCCTAATCATTATACGTCGCATGTTTGTCAAAAACTGTTAAAACCTTTTCTTATATTAATCGTATTTTAATCTTAACAATTAATTAATTTTATGTGTCAACAATCCGATTGTTGTCTGGGTTTTTTTCGCGAAGGGAAATTATAACCATTTTTATAAACGGCTCACGAAATGAAAATTTGGAACAACATATTGACTGAATAGACGGGGAGAGAGAGAGAGAGACTACGCAGACATTGCAAACAATAAATTAAACAGAGAGAGAGAGAAAGAGAGAGAGAGAGAGTCTAACGTCCACTCGACACAAACTAGATCATTTCGGAACTAACAAATGGTTCATTTTTATTTCAATAATTCGCTTGCTCGTAGGGGTCTTTAGCAGTAGGATAAAACCGGGGGACCCGGAGAAAACCCACGACGATACTCCTTGTCACGTACAACCGGGAAATCGAAACCATGTCAGTTGACCCAATGACAGATATTATAACATAACGCGCACGCGTTAACCTGAATAGAAGGAAATAATGGGAAAATATACTGGAATCAATGAGTTTACCCTACATTAAAACTGTATTACAATTGTTTAGTAACTGCAACCAGTCGATATGCACGAATCCAAGCCTTAATAGTTTGAAAAAAAATGGGGGTTAACATCTTGCTTTTGTAATATGACCAAGCCTTGATAAAACCTCGAAAAGAACATCGTTGAAAACTTTTGTAACTCATCGATTGACGAACATTTATAATACATTGTCATGGTAATATTAATTCACATATGAATAATTCTGCATGGCTCATGGATAATTATATATAAATTATAGCATTGAAAACCGTCAGTAAGAGAAAACACATGGCTTAGAAATGAAATGAAATGAAATTCAATGGTGTTTAACGTCCTACTGTTCTGCTCCTAAACTAGGCTAATGAAGACGGGCATATGCCATACAGTGTACTATGAAGGGAATTTTGCCAGGGCGTGGGTACTATGGCTTACTCTTATATCGAATTCCAACTGCCAATGGATCTTTAACGTGCACGCCAATGTGTACACGGGACCTCAGTTTTTCGTCCCATCCGAACTACTAGACAGCTGTCCTTGTTAAGCCCTCCATCCTGCATTACTGACACGGGGGAACCATGCTGGAGCTAGCTCAGGATTTTATGTATTGTATATCGGAAAGAAGAAAAAGCGGTATTTAAAAATCCGTATAATATGTCTATGGTTTAAACAATATTTATTCATAAAAAATCATATAATACATTACAGATTTAAAGATAGGATACAAACACAAGCTAAAAGATTATATAAATTTGCTTCATATATGGTTATGTTACCTACTTGTGATATTTGAAGAATATGATAGGGTACTTGTTTCATGACGACGATAGTTCAATTCAATAATCTAAATAAGTAATCTGATAAAAACACAGATCCTATTCATAGCTCAAAATTTCGTTTTACTTGTCTTTACTATACTAGCATCGGGAAGAGTTGTTATCATTGACGTTTTCTGAATGGTGTGAGGTATTAGCCAATGAAACGGTCTGTTACGGCGAGCTTTAGGCGTGTTTTGCACGGAACTGTGGGTAATCCACTAGTAACACCAATGCTGATTCGTTAATCAAATGTCTGATGTCATTTGGTCAAAAGCCTTTCGCCCGATCTTTTACTACAACCGGTCAGATCTTCATGTAGTGTATGTAGGCCATCGAAAGTATAAGAAACGAAACGAAATATAGATCTGTATTTTAATCTGATTGGTAAATAAGTCAAGTTAAAGATACATTATGGGAGATTCGATAACGAGTTGGCAGTTCTCACTATAATAGTTAAAAACTAGATAACGTAAAGGCAATTTGCTGAAAATTTCATTCAAATTGATCCACTATGAACCGAAAACTAAGCGAATGAAATTTCTGCCTAGCCTCGGTCATCATTACTAAAGTCAGTACGATAAACAGCATAGTCTCGATTATCTATTTAATCGTTTAATCGAGAAGGAAAGTTATGCAGTAAATCGGCTCACAATCCACTTAAGATCGCAGGCTAGCGATGTCATCTAGAGTTGATTATGGTCTGGATAGGTTAATTAATGTCTAATTAATACTTTAGAAAACATTTCAGGCCTAAAGAAAGACCTGCAATAGACAGATTTAGCTCTTGTATAATGTATGTGTAAGTAATTGAGTAATAGGCCGTTCCGTTCTAACTACGACGTCAACTCACCAAATTACAAGGGACCTAAATTATGCGAAACCCAACATGTCATTTGGTGCGGAACACTTTGCAGTTACACTGACATAAATAGTTATTTTTATAATTGATAAAAACAAACCCAGCGTAGAAACTCTAGTTAAAATCAATATGCTAAATAAATAGGAACGTTTGACTGTTCTACTTTGTACACACTATGCTTCAATATTCCGATCTTAAAGATCATTTGGATTGGTTTGTGGATAAAGCTTATAATGAAGCATTTGGGAAAGGACATTCACTCAGAAGATGCTAAATGGATTATAAAACGGCGGAATGTCGACATTGTGGTTTTTGATAAAGAAAAGTTTCAAAACATCATACATTTTCTCATTGATAATGCCATATTTGAGGTTGGGGATCAGATAATACAGCAAACAATATATTTACCAATGGGAACTGACCCAGCCACATTTATGGCAAATGCACATTTATATAAATATGAATTCTACTTTCAGGATCATAAACGAAAAACTGATTACAAAGTAGTTAAAAGTCTAAACCATACCTTCCGATACATTGATGACATAACACCTATGATAACGGAAATTTCAACAAATATAAAAGTGAAATATATCCCCCAGAACTATATTAAATAAAGAAAATTCTGGCACTATAAATGCATCTGTTCTTGACTTGGATATTAATATAATTAACAGTAAATTTAATGTCGGTATTTTCGACAAAACAGACAAATTTGGTTTTGAAGTAGTAAAATACCCGTCAATCTATAGTAACATACCAGATACCACGCTGTATGGTGTTTTCTATTCACATGCATTACGATTTCTAACAATATGTAACAATAAAGATTTATTTCTTTCCCGAATAAAATCTATTTATTTTAAATGCACTGCCAAAGGCGAAACACAATCACGCGCTTTAAAAGAAATTTCGTTACTTCCATTTCTTCAACATACCAAGTTTGACATTTCCTATAAGTATATAACCGACTACATATTGGATAATGATCTAATTTAATAATTATTTAAAATTTTCTGCAGTTTCTTAAATCTATCTGGATTATCGCCCTTAATTTATGCCTTTATATAAATACACTTGGATTGGGTTGATATAATATCTACTTTCGTTTTTTACAGTTTTGGTGTAGTGTGCTGTGTCCTGTTCCTATTTACTGTGTATATCAATAGAGATTACGTGAGCCATATGGTAATTCCGAACACTATATATAATACAAACCCTCCATTTAATACACATCATCCGTATTCACAGAACATAAATAAATCACATGATTTACATCTGACAGATTACGAAATAAAACCAGAAGTCACGACTGGTTCACACAAGCTCACCGGATATGCGCAAGATATCAACTCTACCAACTGCTCGCCAATTCAGGATATGGCTTTTTTAAAGGTGCACAAATGTGGAAGCAGCACTACGTCGAATTTACTCCACCGTTATTCAATCAAGAATCATCTGAACACTGTTCTAACAAAAAAGAGGAACAATTATTGGATTCTAGGCAGTGCAAGTGAAGTGATTCCCTTACCAAAGGGCGAATATTTTAATATTTTGGATCTTGATACTTTTTATAACAAAGCACTTTACCAGAAAGTTGTACCACATGCCAAGTTCTATTTGGCTATAATGCGTGAACCCGTTTCGCGATATATTTCGTTCGAATTTGACGGATCGTTTCATGGAGGTAAATTTAGAAGGAATATGTCCCAAGTGTACATGTTCGAGGATCCGAATGCTGGCGATCGACGATCGTTACTCCAGCAAATGAGTAACGAATTTGGATTATCCATAAGCAGTCGTTTTGACGACAAACTAATCAAATCACATTTGGAGACCATCGATAAAGAATTTAATTTCGTCATAATACGTGAATATTACGATGAATCATTAATACTGTTACGTCGACGACTGTGTTGGCGAATGCAAGATGTGCTATATATCCGCAAGAACACGAATTTAAAAAAGAAGCCATCTCCCATTACCCCGAGTGGTAGGGAGAAGCTCGAAAAACTTTTAAAAGCTGATGTCATTTTCTACAATCATTTTAAAAATAAATTATTTAAATCAATTCATGAATTAGGTGTGGGATTTCTACACGAAGTTTCGCATTATAGACGTGTTTTAAAATTAGTGAGAGATTATTGTGTGTATGGTAAAGATATGTGGCCAAATGTAGATATTGAAGCGAGTGTTTGGAATGATAAGTTCTCCGTCAGTAAAGAGGATTGTGAATTGATGCTATTGGTAGAAGCCCCGATGGTTAAAATGATGACGGAAAAGGCCATGGCGAGATACCAAGCATCATTAAAGACCCAAGATTCCAAATCTTAATATCAGTTGCAGGATATCCAACCATTCCGGTGTTTGCTTACAAATGTATATTACACACGCCACTTTGAATCTCCGATGGCTGTAATCAATGGTGACTGTAAAAGCCACGGCGAGATAACGAGTTACGTAGAATTCCTAAATTCTCACGGTTAATAACAATACAGCCCAGTCCGGTTGTTGATCGTATAGTCCCGATACCATTTGTAACGGAAGAAACAGTTATCTAGATAACATGTATTGTAGCTGATCTCGGGTGTCTATTCGAATTGGGTTTATCAATATTTCTATTCAGAAGGATCACGTAGTATTGCGTTATATTTTTCAAATCGTCAGCTCATCCCATGGGTTTCTTACCTGACGTCTTGTTAGTTCGGATTCGCATCTTCTATTTTCAAATATTGTTTCCCCCATCCACCCATTCCAATATAGATAACGTGTCATTTGACAGATCTCAAATGTTGTTTATTTGAACTTTCTGGGGTTTTTTTATTTGAAGACACGGTGGCTAAGTGAGTAAGACGTTGGCTCGCTAGTCGGGAGGTCGCTGGTTCGATCCCGGTGTTGGCCGAGTAATTTCATCTGGATATTTCATGGGTCGAAAAACCGAGGTCCCGTGTATACATTGTCGTGCACGTACAAGATCCCTTGGTAGTTGGAATTCGATATAAGAATGGACCTGTATGGATAACCTGTCCTACCTGATCTCAAATGTTTATCATTTAGCGCGGACACTGTTTACCGATGTAATTTAGAAAGTGGTTATATACTGCCCAAATGGAATTTAGAAATTTATTATATTATGAAATGTGATTAAATGATCCCACGTTCTTTGTTTTTACAAAGAAACATATCAGGATAAAACGTGAACTATTTTGCCTATAACGTTTTTTAGGACTTCGAATTCTGTCTTATGGTTTGGATTGTTCGTACTTGGTTTTATTTTATTTATAGGCCTATGTATGAATCGCTTTAGAATCAGAAAGCTTATATGACCTTGATTGACGTCACATCATTTTAACATGGCGTCGGTGTCCTTCCTACGATAACAACACTTAAAAATATGCGTTTTATTTTATTTCTGTCGCGTTGCAATAATTCGTTTAATAGCCAACGACACACATATAATGCTATGTTCCTACTATCACGATTCGTGCTGCGATCGAAATCGTGGTTTTAATCGTTGTGATCCTATCATTTCTTTAAAAATATCTGCATGTGGCAGATCGTGGACTCAATAGGGACAAGCCTATCGTAATGCATCGCTCCACAGTGGGAGAGAGAGAGAGAGAGAGAGAGAGAGAGAGAGAGAGAGAGAGAGAGAATGGGGTTTAACGTCCACTTAACCCAAACTAGGTCATTTCGGGTCTAACATGGTTTAATTTTATTTCAATAATTCGCTTGCGCGTAGGGGTCTTTAGCAGTGGGAGAAAACCGGAGGACCCGGATAAAACCCACGAGGTTGGACAGGCGACCCTGCTCCTTGTCACATACAACCGGGGAACCGATATCACGCCAGTTGAATCAATGACAGACTTTATGATACACGACATGAAATGGAAAGTGTTATCAGTTGTGCGAGAATGCCATTTGATGTAACAAGACACTTGATATGATAAAACAAAATGGCTACTTCTCGTTTACTCATCAGGTAGCTGGGAATAGTGAAACTACACTTTAGACTTGTGGATGTTACATTAGGCGAAATGAATCTGCAGGTATCTAGGAAACCAGACTTGTGTATGGATCTGCTATTAGTTGTAGCAAGCTGTTGTTAGTTTTTATTTTTATTAAATTATTCAACATAAAACGATATGTGTAATTAGTCATAGATGTATATTTAATTGGTCTACATGTATTAATTATAACCGACATCTGTGTCATACCGTGAACAATCAATTTCCACATTGGATCGATATTGTTATGTGTAATACTGTATATTTACATTGGATATATTATTGTTTTCCGCCTGTCATCAGGGGGCTATTAAAATGGGTCTTCCCGTCTGTTTGCCTGCCCGTTACACTTTATGGAACACAATAACTCTCCTTCTAATTGAGCTAGAATGTTCAAACTTGGTGTAGGTGTTTATTAGGCGAATGTCATGATGGAGTTGGAAAATGAGCATTTTATGCTTAGGCTAAGCAGAGGTAATCAATTGGATTGATTTATGCTATGGGAGACGATAACGTTAGTTCTAATTAGGTGAGAGTGATGAAATTTGGTGTATAGTTTCATTATATAAATACCTTAACTAACTTCGATAATGAGCATTTTTTGCTCAGGGTAAGCAGAGCGACAAGCAATTTGATTGATTGGTAGACACTCTGGAGCTAGATAACTTTGATTTTAATTGAGTGAGAGTGGTGAAACTTGATCTATAATTTCAATACATCAATACCTTGACTAAGTTCGATGATATTTCAGTCTGATTGGCCGAGACTTTGGAACACAATAACTCCCCTTCTAATTGGGTTAGAATGTTCAAACTTAGTGTAGGTGTTTATTAGGTGAATGCTTTGGCAGTGTTCGATCATGCGCATTTTCATCTAAGGCTAAGCAGAAATAAGCAGTTTGATTGATTATTACTTTGAACACGATAACTTTGGTTCTAATCGGGTGAGAGTGATGAAAACCAGATTATAGATTCATTATATCATTACCTTGACTATGTTCGATGATCTCAATTTTCTCCTAAGGCTAAGTAGCAATTTGATTGATCCAGACTCTGGAACATAACAGCTCAGCTTTTAATTGCGGTAGAAATGAAATGAAATGGAGTTAACGCCCTACTGTTTAATTACGGTAGAATGTTAAAACTTGATGTAGATGTTCATTAGGTGAATGTTTTGACTGAGTTCAATGATTAACATTTTCCGCTAAAGCTAAGCAGAGCTCAGCACTTTCATTGGTTGATGTTTTGATTCTAACTGATGGAGAATGACGAAAATTAGTGTACAGTGTCATGACCAGGTACTTCAAAACCGTGACTGAGTTTGATCGTGAACAGTTTCTGATTAGGCTTAGATTAGATAATAAGTTTGATTGCTTGATACTTTTCAAAAACATAAATGTGCAATTAATATGTGTGTTATTTTGCGTGTTATATATTACTTGTGGGGTGTGTGTTTTGTTGGATTTTTACTGGGGATCTCGCTGGCTAAGTGGGTAAGACACTGGCTCGCTAGCCTGGAGGTCGGGTGTTCGATCCCTGCATTGGCCGAGAAAGTTCATTCAGATTTTCCGGCGTGGTTCCCCCTTGTTAGTGATAGAGGGCCTGACAAGGACAGCTGTCTAGTCATTCGGGTGAGACGAAAAACCGAGGTCCTGTGTACACACTGGCGTGCACGTAAAAGATCTCATGACAGGTGGAATTCGATATAAGAGTAGACCGTAGTGCCGCTGTCCGGGCACACTTTCCCTCATAGCACACTGTATAGCGTATGCCTGTCCTCATTAGCCCAGTTCGGAACAGAAAAGTAGGACGTTAAACCCCATTTTATTTCATTTCTGTTTATTGCTATATGTGTCTATGGCATTAAAGTAATAATTTTTATATACGATGCGTCTTTTTTTTACTGGAGGTTTTGTATTTATGTCCTTAAAAAGTCTGTTTATTACTACAATAAAGTAATATAGGATGTCCTTATCTGTTTATTACTACAATAAAGTAATATAAGATGTCCTTATAACGAACGGGGTGCGTGTGTGTGTTTTATTATAATATGTATTGATAAGATTAAAGGAAAGAGAGCTAGAAATGATACGAATTTGATTAAAGAGTTTCATGAATCAAACACCGAGAACACTTCCTCACCGGTAAACAGCTCATCTAGTAATATTCAACAGTTTTATTATAAATCGATAAGTTGTATCAGGTATAACAGAGAGTAAGCATACATTATCTAGTGCACAACACCCGCCACTAATTAACAACTATGATGAAGGGTATTATAAAGAGTAAACAGACCCCTCACTAGTTAAGAGGGTTAGTAGTTTGGACCTGGATAGAATCCCATTGGTTTAAATGAAAAGTGTAATAAAAATTCTTTAAGCCGCGGATTTCATCACGAACATTTGTTGACCTAACAATGACATTTTCTAACCACGTGATGTTTGGGTCACACATTCTTCGTTTGTTGAAAATTTATAAAAAGGTAAAAAACTTGGTTTTTTTTGTTAAACGCCAAGAAATGTTAGTCGATCTGCGATGGACTTTAGATGTGTGTGTGTGAACTCTTTTTAAAGAGGTGGGGCGTGATACCAGATGTTCTAGACAGTAAAGAGAGAGAGAGCAGTGGGGTTTAACGTCCACTCGACACAAACTAGGTCATTTCATATGCTTCAATTTTATTTCGATAATTCGCTTGCGCGTAGGGGGCTTAAGCAATGGGAGGTTGAACAGGCGACCTTACTTCTTGTCACGTACAACCGGGGAATCGTAATCACCCCAGTTGTCTCAATGACAGACCTTATGATACAACGCGCACGCGCTAACCATTCGGCCAACAACAATTCGGCAGTAAGCTTTCAATGTTACAAGTAAGTGTCGAGCAGTTATCACTATGGAGATCTTTCATACACAATTTGAACAATAAGATAAACACGGGAGTTAAAATCAATATGTTCAGATCGTTAAACAAACCCTGACTGACTCTAACTGACAGTGTTTTGTCACGGTTCTCCTACAATAAAAACAAAGAATGAATATCTATTTAAAGGTAGACGCAATTTTATTTTGGATATTTTAAACTCTACTCTGACCCATTTCGTATCAATTCAGAGTTGTGATAGTGATAATACAACTGTCTTCATTAGCCCAGTCGGAGCAGAACAGTAGGACGTTAAACCCCATTTCATTTCATTTAGTTATCCTGCTTGATTTAGTCGGTACTGGTAATTAAAATAAAGAAATGGCTTGATAATACGAGTGGCGTGGTTTCCATCCAACCTAACCCCGTGTTTGAAGTACCTCATACTAGATAATACGAGTGGCGTGGTTTCCATCCAACCTAACCCCGTGTTTGATGTACATCATATTAGATAATAAGAGGGGCGTGGTTTCTATCCAAGGATTGTAGCGTCAACCTAACCTCGTGTTTGAAGTACATCATACTTACTGGACTCTATGTATTTTAATGGTTGTACATTCACGCATTGTTGTCCTCTTTAACCACTAACCTTTTATAACCATCTCTCTAACCAAGTCAACACATCCGTATGTCTATGAGTCAAGGTCTCCGTCGGGTGGATATCATGTTAGTCCCAAAATTATCTTATTATTTTATACTGTAACGTTA